GTCCTCTTCCCATCTTAATTAAATCCATTTTGTAAAAGCCCCTGAAAGCTGGCAAGCCCTGGGCAGCCACTTCTAGTAGCCTTTTCCCATAACTGATGTCAGCCATACTAACAAAAAGGGCTAAGCAGAGCCCTACAATGGCAAATATTTCAGGAAACCCTGGAAGCAAGGACCTATGCAATGCTGAATCTATGCTAGCTCTGTGCTTACTTTCTCAGCCTGCTGTTTTCTCAGTAGAATGGACTACAACTCCTATCCTTCCCCGTTATGATAATGGAAGCTGCAGTCCAAGATTTGTGGAGGGCATCAGGCTGAGGCACGCTGGCCTAAGCTTTCTCACCCCATTGTCTATCTCAAAATGATTTACATTAGAACTCAAGCTTTGACTCTCAACGATGTAACAAAAGCAGCAAGGAAAATGTTGTTGTGTTATTTTAGTGTGCTATTTTAATTATTTGTTAACCATTCTGAGAGCATGTGCTGATGAGGATCGTCTATAAAACCTCTATTGAATGAATGAATGCTGAGTTTTTCTTTTCTTTTAAACAAGTTGCTGAAACAACGGGAATCAGAAGCAAAAGAACTGAGCTGTGTTCTAGTTGTGAGAACAAATTCTTGAGCATGTAAACAGGCACTTTAAGTTCAAATGTGCAGGAGTCTCACTTTCCACCTTTTCTTGCACATGGATCTAGTTGGTGGACCTCAAGGTTCTGGCTAAAAACAAACAAACAAAACAGATCTGCCAAACCTGAGCTGTGCTTCTTACCCTACATCTAAACTTCCAATGTCCTGTCCTTCACTTTGCTCTACAAATGCATCATGTATATCATTTATACACACGAATACACAAGAGAAGGTGGGATGGAGAAACTCACCCCATTAATACATGGACACACATTTTTCTTTTCTAGCCACCCCTTTTCATCATCTGGGTTCTCTCTATCACTACATTAGTCCTGAATGCTGTTTAGCTGTCCAATAGCATCTGTATTTTCCCCAGATAACAAACTAAAATTTCCAAAGCACGATGTAACTCTGAAAGTGGCTTCAGTTGTTCCTCAAGTCTGGCAAGGAAAATACAAACTCAGTTCTGAATTTGGACAGCTGCTATACTTATAATGTGAAACTGGTACATTACTGCCTGTACTTGCTCCCCTTTGGTCATTATATAAAAAGTGCCATCCTTAACCAACATTCTAAGTTATACAAAATAACCAGCACCCATAATTATGCAAATTAAGCAGGTCTGCACAATTCAGATAGGTCAGTTTTCTTGTTTTTTTTTTTTTTTTTTAATAATCCAGTATGGTCAGTATCCAACTACATTGACAAGATGATTCTCATGACCCATTTTAAGCCTGTTCCTTATACTCTATCTTATATTCTACATCAATTACTCCTCTTATTACTTCACAGGTTGTTAGACTACAACCTCCAGCATCCCTCACCACTGGTTATGCTGGCTAGGGTTGATGAGAGTTGCAATCCAACATCACACAAATGGCTACAACCTTCTGAAAGGAGAGTCCGATGCTGTAAAGATCTATACTCCATAGGAACCCGGAATGTAAGATCCATGAATCAGGGCAAGCTGGCTGTGGTCAAACAAGAGATGACAAGACTGAACATCGACATCTTAGGAATCAGTGAACTAAAATGGACAGGAATGGGTGAATTTAATTCAGATGACCATCAGGTATACTACTATGGGCAAGAATCCCTCAGAAGAAATGGAGTAGCCTTCATAGTCAATAAAAGAGTAGTAAAAGCAGTACTGGGATACAACCTCCAAAATGACAGAATGATCTCAGTTCGAATCCAAGGAAAACCATTCAACATCACAATAGCCCGAGTCTATGCCCCAACCACTGGTGCTGAAGAGGCTGAAGTTGACCTGTTCTATGAAGGCCTATAACATCTTCTAGAATTAACACCAAAAAAATGATGTCCTTATTATCATGGGGGATTGGAATGCTAAAGTAGGAAGCCAAAAGATAACTGGAATAACAGGCAAGTTTGGCCTTGGAGTACAAAATGAAGCAGGGCACAGGCTGGTAGAATTTTGTCAAGAGAATACAATGGTCATAGCAAACACGCATAGCAACAAGAGACAACGCTACACATGGCCATCACCAGACGGTCAACACAGAAATCAGATTGACTATGCGCTCTGCAGCCAAAGATGGAGAAGCTCTATACAGTCAGTAAAAACTAGACCAGGAGCTGACTGTGGCTCAGATCATGAGCTTCTGGTTGCAAAATTGAGGCTTAAATTGAAGAAAGTAAGGAAAAGCACTAGGCCACTCAGGTATGACCTAAAACATATCCCTGATGAATATTCAGTAGAGGTTACAAATAGATTTAAGGAATTAGATCTGATAGACAGAGTGCCTGAAGAACTATGGACGGAGGTTAGCAACACTGTACAAGAGGTAGCAACTAAAACCATCCCAAAGAAAAAGAAATGCAAGAAAGCAAAATGGCTGTCTGAGGAAGCTTTACAAATAGCTGAGGAAAGAAGGGAAGCAAAAGGCAAGGGAGAAGGAGAAAGAGAAAGATACACCCAATTGAATGCAGAATTCCAGAGAATAGCTAGAAGAGATAAGAATGCATTCTTAAATGAACAGTGCAAAGAAATGGAAGAAAACAATAGAATAGGGAGGACCAGAGATCTCTTCAAGAAAATTGGAGATATGAAGGGAACGTTTCATGCAAAGATGGGCATGATAAAGGACCAAAATGTCAAGGACCTAACAGAGGCAGAAGGGATTAAGAGGTGGCAAGATTACACAGAAGAACTATACAAGAAAGAGCTTAACGTCCCTGATAACCATGATGGGGTGGTCACTGACCTCGAGCCAGACATCCTGGAATGTGAAGTCAAATGGGCCTTAGGAAGTCTGAGCAACAACAAAGCTAGTGGAGGTGACAATATTCCAGCTGAGCTATTCAAAATCTTAAAAGACGATACAGTAAAAGTGCTACAGTCAATATGCCAACAAATTTGGAAAACTCAGCAGTGGCCACAGGATTGGAAAAGGTCAATTTACAATCCGATCCCAAAGAAGGGCAATGCCAAAGAATGTTCAAACTACCACACCATTGCACTCATTTCACATGCTAGCAAAGTTATGCTCAAAATCCTACAAGTTAGGCTCCAGCAGTATGTGGACCGAGAACTACCAGAAGTACAGGCAGAACTTTGAAGAGGGAGAGGAACTAGAGATCAAATTGCCAACATACATTGGATCATGGAGAAAGCTAGGGAGTTCCAGAAAAACATCTACTTCTGCTTCATTGACTATGCTAAAGCCTTTGATTGTGTGGATCACAACCAATTGTGGCAAGTTCTTAAAGAGATGGGAGTACCAGACCATCTTATTTGTCTCTTGAGTAACCCTATATGTGGGTCAAGAAGCAACAGTGAGAACTGGACACAGAACCACTGATTGGTTCAAAATTGAGAAAGGAGTTCGGCAAGGCTATATACTGTCGCCCTGCCTATTTAACTTATATGCAGAGCACATCATGAGAAAGGTGGGGCTGGATGAATCACCAGTTGGCATTAAGATTGCTGGGAGAAATATCAACAACCTCAGAAATGCAGATGATACCACTCTCATGGCAGAAAGTGAAGAGGAACTAAAGAGCCTCTTGATGCGGGTGAAGGAGGAGAGTGCAAAAGTTGGCTTAGAACGCAACATTAAGAAAACTAAGGCCATGGCATCCAGTCCTCTCACTTCCTGGCAAATAGATGGGGAAGAAATGGAGGTAGTAACAGATTTTATTTTCCTGGGCTCCAAGATCACCACAGATGGTGACTGCAGCCAAGAAATTAAAAGACGTTTGCTCCTGGGGAGGAAAGCTGTGACAAATCTAGACAGCATACTAAAAAGCAGAGACATCACCCTGCCAAGAAAAGTGTGTATAGTCAAGGCTATGGTTTTCCCAGTTGCAATGTATGGCTGTGAAAGCTGGACCATAAGGAAGGCTGTGCACCAAAGGATTGAGGCCTTTGAATTGTGGTGCTGGAGGAGACTCCTGCGAGTCCCTTGGACCTCAAGGTGATCAAACCGGTCAGTCCTAGAGGAGATCAACCCTGACTGCTCTTAAGAAGGCCAGATGCTGAAGATGAAACTCAAATACTTTGGCCACCTAATGAGAAGGAAGGACTCCCTGGAAAAGAGCCTAATGCTGGGAACAATAGATGGCAAAAGAAGAAGGGGACGGCAGAGAATGAGGTGGCTAGATGGAGTCACTGAAGCAGTTGGTATGAGCTTAAGTGGACTCCGGGGGATGGTGGAGGACAGGAAGGCCTGGAGAAATGTGGTCCATGGGGTCGCGATGGGTCGGACACGACTTCGCAACTAACAACAAAAACAAACTAGTGCAGTGTGGTTGGATTCAGACAATAAGACAAGCTATGGTGGTTTTTTACCACTGTTGGTCTGTTGTGTTATCTGAACCCACTTGTGAGATTTTACCATGGTAAGTCTGGTCTTTAGAAACCATGAGAAACAATGGCTTGTTCTATGGTTTCCCCATACCACCATGGCCTGTCATGTTATCTGAACCTAGGAAAACAGTTTCCACGGTCCTAGCATGCAATTATCAGAGTGCCCCAAAAAGAGCGGCAACTGCAAGAGCCACTCCAGCCAATATGTGCAGGCCAATAAGGAAGAAGCAGGTGACATAGGCATGATGCAATGTACCTTGGTATTGAATTCCAGGTGCAGTAGCTGATGGGTTACATGTCAACAGCAAGAAGGTTGAGCAAGGAGAATGGAAACCCCAGTAACAGAGAGACCACTTAATAGTCTGTCAGACAGACCATGGTAAAAAAGCATAAACTGTAGTAACTATGCAGGGCTGTTTGTTGCGTTGTGTGAACCCAGCCTATGTGGTAAAAATGCCCTAAAGGAATTTCCATGCAGGATGAACTGCAGGGAGATCAGCACTTTTGCCCAGATGTTAAACCCAAAAAAAGTCACACACAGAAGTGGAACACACTGTGCCACCACTCAGTGGCTTTAACTTGCATCTTTAATTGTGCATTCACTTTTTACACCACAGTAGACCGTTCACATGATAAAGATTGTAATGCCGTTTCCTGCGACTTTCCTTTTGCAACTTTAGCTGGACCCAAGCATCCCATTTCACACTTTGCCCTGGCTACAGAAACAATCATATTTGTTACACAGTGCTCCACAAATGTACCACTTCTTAATTTTTGTAAGAGGAAAGGGAGAAGAGAAAGAAAGAAAGAAGAAAAAGACAGTGTTAGTTTAGTGTCACTCCTGAGCACTAAAACCAGACGTGGAGACCGTGACCTGGAATGTTAGCAGGCTGGGATCTACCCACAACCCACACTTGGTGGACTTTTCCCAACCAGAAAGGTGATGGGACATGAGCTTCCTACAAGATGGAGTGCTTTTCAAAAGGAATCGTCAACTCCTTCGCAGCTGGCTCATCCAAAAACCAGTAGAGCTTCCCAGTGTGTGGCTGGACAAGGGCAGCTGGCAATGGGTTTTCCTCATCACCTTCCAAAATGCGCTGTCCCAAGAAACAGAATGTTAGAATCTGTACAATTTGCAGATGGTCATCAAAATGCTGAAATCTTCCCGCATCCCCTGCTAAATCTAAGAATTAGAATTGGTTCAGAATTTTGAAGCTTTAAAAGTTTCATTAACACAAAACCGTGCAAGAATATTGGCCTTAGTGACAGCCGAACTGAAAATACACTGTTGAATACAGGTGATTGGTAGAGTATTGTGGATGCAGTGGTTTGAAACCAAAGATAGGGTTGGGATTACAGAGAAATCATGCCTGATAAAATCTTAGAAGTGGGGTGGTGTGTGATGTGGATAGCCAATAGTCAGGGCTGTGGCTCTATTCTTGGCATATTATTTAGTAGATTTATATCCTGCTTTTTTCTTTGTAAAGAACTCAAAGCAGCTTACATTATTCTCCTCCTGATGCTCTCAATCTTATCCCCACAACAACAACCCCTTGAGGCAGGTTGGGCTGAGAGTAGCTGCTCAGTCAACCATTCCCTCACCCATAGTATAGGCAGTTGACAGGTTCAGACAACGTGCCAACCCGTCATGGGTGAAATAATCCCTAGAACAAGCTATGGATCACCAGGTGGCTTGTTGCCTTCAGACATGCCACACTGTGAGAATCAGCCCAATCACATTACATGACGTGCTGTGAGTAACAAATTTTTGTACAAACTTGCTCCAGGAGGAAGGAGCCTCCATGTGGCAGTTCATCCTCTTGCTCTCCAGAAATGGCAGAAGGCAAGGCAATTGCAGGAGGCCCACAACACTTATCCAAGAGTTCTGCCAAGGAGGAAATTTGTTCCCTTCCTGGAATTTCTAAAACAGGCAATGGGAACACTTTATACATATTTTCCCTTCCTAGGAGGTTAGTTGATGATCTCCTCCATATCCATAAATCTAACAGAGCCAGGTATACCAGCCCTGGAGCAATGTTCCCCTCCAGACGGTTTGGACTACAACTCCCAGGAAGCCTGACTGCTGTCCCCTGCTGGCAGGAGCTGACAGGAGCTGAAGTCCAAAATGTCTGAAAGACACCACCTTGGGGAAGATTCTCCTTTTTGTGCTGGAAGTAGCACGGCATAAGGAAGCAAAACTCACCAGAGAAGAAAAAACACTAGGGAAAGTCAAAGCAGAAGAAGAGGAGGAGGACTGTGAGATGGATGGATTCCATAAAGGAAGTCACAGCCTTTTGTTTACAAGAGCTGAGCAGGGCTGTCAAGGACTGGACAGTTTGGAGGACACTCATTCACAGGGTTGCCATAAGACGGAGACAATTTGATGGCATGTAACAAAAGCAAAGTGGCAACTGTGTTGCACTGGACATTTGAGACCAAAACCATGCAGCTCACATTACCTTTATCACAGCAGCTTTGCTATCCCCAGTGGCAACAAACACCACACTCCGAGCAGCATTCAGCACTGGGAGAGTCAGCGTGATCCGCTCTGGAGGTGGCTTTGGGGAATCTCGAACGGCAGCCACTATCTTCTCCCGCTCCTACCACAGGAAAGAGGGTATGAAATATGGAGAAGGTGGGAGGGAGGGAAACTGGGAATATTACAGCAAAGCCATATCTAGGCCATATTTTGCCAAATACTAACATGATGAGGAATTTCAGAGTTTTTCAAGGACATTACTACTTGTAGAATAAGCCATGCACCTGATTTTAAACATGTTTTGAAAAGGAGACAACCAACCTTTGGTCTTCAAAGGGAAGAAAGCAAGCAAATTCAAGTGTTTACCCATCAGACATGGGTCTGGTTAGTCTTCTACAGAAAAGGTAGGGGGAGATTTAGACATGATGCAAAAGAGGCAGAGCAGCTGGGCATTACCATACACTTGGCAGTGAACAGATGACAGCCAGCTTATGTTGTGGAGCCACTTAGGGATTGTAAACACCCAGGAATCTGGTTGCCCAGACGCGGAAAAAGACGAATAATAGCACTGATGAATCTGATATGTTTTCCAATGAGAGAGATGCCTAAAAATGGGTTGCACTGGTTGCTTCTAAGTTCTGATGCTGCCTGCTTCTTCGGGGAGGTTGCCTTCCAAAGTGCTTGCTGTCTGAACAGAAAATACAAGCACAGAGACAATCCCATGCTATTAACAGGACAAGTTCAGAAGATGCTTCTTTGGGCACAACTGGAGCAATGGGCAAAACTCTCAGAGCAACTGGTGGGAAGGGTGGACGGGAGAATTCAATGAACCACGGGCTACTTCCACTCCTTCTTGTGAGTGGAGTCAACAATGCTTGTTCACACCTCTAGATTCCCTGCATCTTTCATGTGAACCGGCAGGTAAACCAGAATGGAAGTGAGGATTGGCTTGTCCCAATAAACTAAAGAGGTATACCCAATATATAAGCATATGCATGCAAATGAGGATATACTATATAATGTGCAAGGTTGCACATCAGGAGTGATTGGTTATTTTCTTTTATTCTGTTTCAAATTCAGTTTGGTAAAATATTTTTGCACATTACTTAGTTGTTCTTGGTACAGTCCCATATTTAAGAGCAGGGTGAAAGGGGTCAAGGGATATTGCACATAACCCACTACAGCAGAGGTGCTTCTGAAATATTCTTCTAAGTCAAGAAGGCTCTCCACTCCCCCATCGCTTTAGTATTAAATGGTTGTATGCAAGAAATTTGGTTTCACATGTCCTAATCTCTCAGGAATGAGGCAGAGGAGAAATTCAATAAAAAGGGGAGGGATTGTGCATGTTTTCATATCTAGCCCAAAGCTGCAGTGCAGAAAGTATATATCAACATTTCTGAAATCAGTATGAATCTTTGTGTATGCACACACACACACCAAAGGAGAAGCAGATCCTAGGTGACCCAAGGCACCTAAATGTTTGGTACTAGCAACCAGTTTGAAATGCTGAGAGCCACACAAATTTGACAGCTAACAGTTTTGATGCTTCTGGGCCTCAAAGGGAATGAATGCTCTTTTCTTTTTTAAAAAAGGTGTCACTACAATATTAAACATGAAAAAATGGAAATTGTAAACTTCCAGTGAATGACTCACGGTATTTTAAAAGCTCAGTAGGTAGTTCAGAACATGAAAGTTGAATTTAGAAACACTGCTCAATTTCCTATGTTCTTGGGCTCTGCAATTAAAATTGTTAGAAAACAAACTGCATCTCTTGGATTTTTTTCACTGAGGTCTTTGTATGGGCCAGTAAAAAGAGTCTCACACACACAAATAAACACAAGAACTGCAAGCTCTGAACCAGTATAATTGGTTGTTTTATAAATTAACATTTGAATTGCCTAAATGGATACTGACAATTTTAGTTTGTGAAGCTGCAAATTAACTATGCACTGGTTTATTCTTTGAGGCTATTTTAGATCCAGTAATGGGAACTGAACAAAAATATTACTATTGTTTTTTCTATCAGCCAAATGGTAAATTTTATTTACTAAGTTCTCTTATATTTCATGCAACATCTACACAAAGACATCTGTGTTGATGTTTTGGTGCTATGCAAATATACCTACATATACTTGTCAAGCAGTCAGAGTTAAAGCAACCTGTCTTTAAATTTACTGATGGTTCCTGAGGCCAGTTCAAATGTCCTCAAGTTTCAACTTCAGAATGGGGACATTATAGTTAGGGTAGCTGAATGAAGAGAAAGGAAAGGATCAGAGGTCATGTGTCTGATGGTGGAGGGCAAAAAGAAAGGGGGTGAGAATAAACAACCAGTCAGCCGCAGAGAAAGAATGAGAAGAAAATGGGTCTCCAGATTAAAATGACTATACACCTGAGGTTGGATGATTGGCACCCAATAAAACAAAAAGAAATGGCAGATTAATTGCATCTGTTTATGTTGTCTTCGTATTTTAAAGTAGTACTCCCTATGGCTTTCAAACTGTTCCTGGTGTGTTTCTTCTTTGCATCCCTTCATGTGCTGCTCTGCTTTTCAACTTTAATGGGAAGCCACATTTCAGAAGTGAGGTGATGGATTTTAACTCTTGGAAAATGCTGCATAAACTTATACCATGGCATGAGCTGTCAGCCCTGCTGCTTCATAATAGCAGGAAGGAGCCTACCCTTCAGCCTGCAGGAGCCAGCACCTCTGAGTGACTGAGCTGACTGCCTGAGTCAACTCTCTGTGCCAAAGAATGACTGGGGCTTTGGGAAGGCAGCCAGCAGTATTAGTTACCAATATCTGGTGCCCTCAAGATATTTGGAGCCTGGGACTTCAAGATGGCGTCAGAACAAGACGGTTGTGATTAACGGAGTTCCTGTTATCACGCCAGTATTGCTCAGCAGTGAGTCGTGGGAGGCTCATCTAAGCTCTGTCGGAGCGAAGACAGATTACCTGGGCATTCTTCTGGTTCGATGTGGGAAGGCAATCCCATATCCACTGGGACAAATTCAGGCATTTCTCAACCGAGCAACACAGGGGGGCTTTTTTAGCCCCTACAAGTTCGTGACATCTTTGGAATTAGCTTAGGATTTTTATTAGCTAGATAAACATTGGAACTGCTGGGTAAATATTCTTATTTTTTATTTCTTTTTGCAATACTACCTATGGAAAAGCTGTATCTGTTTCTAATTGGCATAAAGAAAAAAAGAAGAAAGCCCTCCTCATATCTAAGCGGCAACTGATACGGAGAGTGTTGAGGCTTTTGTCCAAGTTGAAGCCGAAGAAAAAGATTTTTTCCTCTAACCTCTCTAAGGGCGAAGAATTAAAATAAATAATTACTGTGGAAATAAGTGTTAGAAGGTTAAAACTTAGAGGGATTATTTTGGATATCTGTTTGGACTTCTGCCAAGACTAACTGGACACTTGCCAGGATATTTTTCATATTGTGTGGTGTTTCCTCTCTAATGTGATGACTGTTTGGGTGAGCATTCCTATTTTCCTTTTGTAATACTACTTGTGGAAAAACTGTATCTGTTGTTAATTGGCGTAAAGAAGGAAGAAAAAAAAAGACCCTTTGATGGAACTCTCCCCCCTACGGTGTTTTAAGCAGTAAATGATATGGGGAGAGGAAAGAGTTTGAAGTGCGTGGGAAAGTTTATATGGGAGAGAAAGAGTTTGAAGTGCGTGGGAAAGTTGGGACTGAGAAAAAAAAGACTTTGTTTCTTTTCTGATCTCCCCAAGAATGAAGAATTAAAATAATAACTATTGTGGAATTTATTGATAGAAGGATATAATTTGCCTGTCAAATTGCCATTTTCTTCCCTCCATTTCTGGGACCCTGCCAAAGTACTTGGCAATTTGCCAACCTTCTGTCTGCAAGTGATCTAGAGGAAAAAGAAGTGGTAGTTGGCCCTTGCTGCTGTTCTGTAGCTATTGGAATTATTGCAACGATGGAAGAGCAAAAGAGACTACTCCTGGCAATACAGGAATCTTTAACAGCTTTACAAATATCCCAAGAGGCGATGTTGATAAAACAGGAAAATTTTTCAATTGAACAAAAAGAGCGCTTTGATAAACTTGATGCTTCTTTTAAGGAGGTTTTGGTTGATGTACAATCCAAAACTGAACAGCATGTTCAAAAAACAGAACAAGTATATGAAAAATTTTAAACAGTGGATAAAGAAACAAAATCAATAAGCTATCATGGGATTTACTTGTTATATTAGAGAAAGAGAAACAATTTTGGCCATCAAAAGAAGCATTTTTTTTTTTCTGAAGGATGGATGGATCTCGAACTAACTACATATGACACGGAGGAAGAAGAGACAGTGAATGTTGATTTGCAGCAAGAAACACAGTCATTGGGAATAAACACTGACCTACAACAAATGCTACATTTATTGAAGATAAAGCAAGAAATAGTGAATATTGAAATATAGTCATTGAAGAGTGTTGATTTTCAACAAGTACCATTAACTGGAGAAAGATGGGGCAGAGGTGTAAAGTTGAAAAATATTGATTTTCAACTAGCTTTATCAGAACAAGGGCGATGGGGCAGAGGCGTAAAAAAGAAATGAGAGAATTGGTTATCTTAAAAAGGAATGGTATAAATGGGTTGGCATGTTTATTGTGGTATAGAAAGGCTAAGTTATATGATTTCAATGTGGAAGCTTCTCTGCATTTAAATGTGTTGAATTATGAAGAGATTATAAGATATGATCTAAATTGAACTAAGAAAGATAAGAATAGGAGTTGAGTTTTTTCTTGGTTGGTGACATAAGGAAAAATAAGAGGTTTTTTTTTAATCTTAAAAATGAACGACAAAAGCTAAGTTACATGACTCCTTTGTCCTTGAGTTACTATACTAGAAAATGATTATTATTGGCATAGAAGAAGCTGTACTAAGTGGATTTTTTTTAAATAAGTGAGATATATTAAAGAGTGTAAGGAGCTGGACTCTTATAAGGAGCTTAATTGTATGTGACTAAATGATGTGTAAGCTAGATGAAACTTTAGTAAATTAGCTCAAAGAACATTTGTTTAAAAGATATTATAGGTAATTGTTGTCGTCAAACAGATTAGCTAAGATGTCTAAAGATGATAAATGGATGTTAGATATGTGAACATAACTTGGGTTAATTTTTTAAACTTGGAACTTTTCTTCTTTTTTGTTTTTCTTTTTAGTAGATATTGGATTGGAATACTAGTAAACACGAAATGTATTTGATTTTATTTGTAACTATTGTAGTGAGGAGTCTATTTGTCTAGCATTAGGAAAATGAAAAGATCTTGAATTGTGTGGATATGGTCAGATTGAAGTTACTACCGAAGAAGAAAGAAGATATTGACTTTCATCAAATTTGGAGATTCTTTCTTTTAATATTGGTCAAGAAAAACGGGACTTTGTAAGAAATGGATAGACTGATCTTACCACTGAAGGAGAAAGAAGATAGTGACTTCTATCAAATATGGAACCCCCTTTTTTTATTGGCTGGAGAAATGGGACTTGGTTTAGATCTAAAAATGTTTTTAAGTTATCATAAACGGATCTGAATATGATTACAGAATGTTAAAAGATATGTAGTAAGGGGCTGACCCAGTAGTTCCCATGTATGTGATGATTGATGTTTTTAGTATTGGTTTAAAATTTTAATAAAAATTTTTATATTAAAAAAAAAGATATTTGGAGCCTTCAGCTGAGCTGGTTTCTTCCCTCGGGTGCCAACTTGCAAGACAGTCCTTTGAAATGCATCTCATTTATTGAAACGCCACAGTTAACAGAACAGTTGAACTCTGAGGAGCCTTTTGCTAAAGCTGGAAGGAGAAGCTTCTGCTCATGGGAAGAGTGGAATCCAAACTAGAAACTTCCCTGCAGTCCTCCGCTTCCAGTAAGGCTGCTGGCTCCACCCTCAGCGGGGACTTTCCCCATTGAAAAACAGGAAGGCGAAAGCAATGGAGCCCCTCCAGCTGAGCTGCTCACCTCTGACACCTCCTCCCTAAGGCTGGGCCCACCCCTGCTCCCCCTCCCCTCCTGAAAACCCTTCCTCCCCTTCCCAAATGGTTTAATTCCCATGCTCAGTGTGAGAAACTTTTCTAGGAGACCTTGAAGGGGCTTCAGAGGGGTCACCTCCCTTGTTTCTGCCCCTCCTCCTCCACTTCAGAAGCTGATGGTGCCTCCATTGCACAGCCTGCAATGAGTGAGAGCCTGAACCACTCTCTACGCCAGCACAGCCCACAGCCAGGAATTCTGGGAGGAAGAGTCCACATCATTGAGGGGAGGGGGGAACACAGGCAGGGGAAGCCTACGCAAAGACCCCTTTAGTGATTGACAATCCCCTAGGCCAGGAGATTGTCCCACCAACCAAGCAGGTTTAAAGCCATAGCAACGCCTAGCCCCACCAGGCAGCAACCCAGCCATGGCAAGGATCAGCAGTTCAACCCCACATATGCAGAGAGCCAACTCTCCATTTTGCCTGAAAACCTGCCACATCTGTTGAGCCAGATCAACCCACCTCAACCAAAGGCCCTACAGGAGTGTCGGATGACATTCCTGACCACATCTGGAGGGTACCAGGGTGAGGAAGGGCACAGTGATCCTGCAGTGCTCAAGAGGTCCTCACCAACTCCGGCTGACCTGCACAGACTGGCTGAGGAGCAGAGAGGGCCTGGTTTTCATTCCTATCTTGAACAGTGAAGCTGGGGAATCCAGAATCCCTGACAGGGAAGTGTTTCCCCATCCCTGCTTTATGGGAAACCTGGTGACATGGGCAGAATCCCCATTAGCTTCCTCACCTTCTCTGCTGCTGATGCAAAACTTGCCTGGGGACCAAGGGGACAGAGTAGGGCTTCCCTGTCTCACCCCGACAGGTCTGTTTTCTTGGCAGCTTGCACCATCCCCAGAGTGTGCCAAGCCAAAAGAATCAGCAAGAAGACCTGTTATTCCTCTCATCCCTGCTAGAAGAAAAGCCATCCCAGCACATCTCTTTTAAAAGCACAGCTTCTCTTCAGAGCAGGGCTAGAAAGACCAGTAAGCTTAATCCACTTTTGCTGAGCTTGCTTAGAATAGCTCGCTGGGTAGCCACCCTGCCCCCTCTGCTCCACTTCCTTCTACTCCCTCAGCCCCCAACTCCCCTCCCTGGCTCACCTGCAGGAGAGGGTGATCTGGAAAAAGTGAACAAGTGTGTCCATCTGGGCCTACTCCCAAGATCAAGAGGTCAAACACAGGCATATCCTCACCCTGGAAGGCCTGCAGGGCAGAGACACCAGAAAGAAGTAAAAAGATCACATTTAGCAATCCAGTTTTCTATACCACTCCTCAATATGCAATGAGCAAGGTGGTTCACGGAGCTACAAAAGTCATGTTAAAGTATAGCTTTAGCAAAGTAATAAGAACAAGAGGATAGAAGCAGCACAAACCACAAAAACAGGGAACATTTGGGAAAATTAAAAAGTCATTAGCCTGTGTAAAAGTCATTAAAGGAGGAGCCAGATGATTCATTCCCTGGAAGTTAATCTGCTCAAGGGAAGGACAGGCTACTCATGAGTAAGACAGCCTTTTTCAACCTGGTGACCCCAGATGTGGTAGACCTACATTTCCAAAATCCTCCCTTGATCTCTGTCCACTGAATGGGGTTAGAATCATAGAATAGTAGAGTTGGAAGGTGCCAGAAGGCCATCGGGTCCAACTACCTGCTAATGCAGGACACTAAGTTACACCATCCCATTTAGATGACTGTCCAAATGCTTTCTGAATGTCGCCAGCAAGAGAGAGGCCACAACTTCCCCAGCTAATTGGTTCCACTGGGTTGTTTAGGAGTGCCACATTCTCAAGAATCCTATGAGCCTTCGCTTTCTCTGGGAAGCTGCCTCAGCAAGTCTGTCCATCCTAAGCATCTGATGCCTTGGCCTACTGTTAAAATGTACCTGCCTATTATGGAATAAACATACTCACCTGCGGGTTCACTTCATGTTCCAGCTGTCCCTCAAACTGGTTACTGGCATACTACTGTAGAGCTCTTGGGGAAAAGCATTCAATTGATAATTGAATGACTTGGCTGAGGTTGGAGACAGAGCTCCAGCCTTGGAGTTGGGGATGCATGTATGGATTTCACTGCCTGCCTTGCAGCTGGCACAAAAAGAACACTCCGGCTGCTTTGCCAAGCTTGGAAAAGTAGCCTTGGAAAAGAGGTGTTCAGGGCCAGGAGACCAGGGGCTGCCAGCACACAAGGGGTCCTGCTGGTGCTCCAGCCCCCTCCTGTCCTCCCCCAAAAGGCCACAGGTTGATGGCCAAAACTGGTTGTGTGGCTGGCTTACATATCAGGAGACAGAGAACAGTTCTGGCACTTTCCCCACTCTGCAGCAGATGCTTATAAGCCTCCAACTCATGTATAGCCTGTTGGGTTGCACCATACAATGCTCAATTTATTATTTCACTGATTTAGTAGGTTTCTACACCAGCCCATAGCCAAAGCTTTCTGTATGATTTCAGTAGAAGAAACTAAATCGCAGATGTGCATACACACACACGAACACAGAGTCTTCCAACTGTACCTCTTTCAGCTTTGCGGCATAATCCGCTGCTGCCTCTTCAACTGTGAGGGAAGGGTTGATAACAACAATTTGGTCCTCAGGTACCACAAACTTAGAAAGGAGATATGTCTGAAATAAACAAACACAACTGATTTACAGGAACCAAAAAAACTGTCCCATCATCAGGCTTCCATCTCTGATAGTCTTCCTATTTTTTCGTACCAACTGCTGGATTGGCATAAAGCCTCCCATAGAAGAAAGGGCTCTTTCCATTTGTGGGGGGTTTCCAATCCAGCACAGGAATCCTGCTGGTACAAGCTGAAGGAAGGTAATTGACTTGCTTCCACCTGTACTCCCCTATAAGCCCTTGAGAATCTGTTCTGGAAGGCTGAGGGGATGGTGGAGGGCCTGTAGAGCAAAGGGGGAATCAGCAAAGATCATCTCCCATCCACCCTTTCACTGAATTCCACTCAGAGATTTCTCCCCCTGGCAGGATAAAAACTGGATCGAACCATCTTGCAAATTGCCTCTCTTTCCCCACCCTTCCCTTGAAATGTAGCCCGTAAGTTCCTTAGAGCAGGGCTATTCCTTTTTGCTATCGGATACTCTATGAAGCACCATATACATCAATGGTACAATATAAACAACAAAAACGTTACAAAGCAGCTGGCAGTTCTGCCATTACTGTATCTCCATACTACAAAGAACTTCACTTGTTTAATTGTTGCTTGCCTGGTAGGTGCTGAAAGACACAAGAGTCCTAATAAGGGAATCACCTCCTCTGCAAGTCTAGTAAGAGCAAGCTATTTCCAAATATACCTTATTGCCAAACCTTTTGAAGGAAAGTCATTTAAAAGAGGAGTCCTAGGTTCTACAGAAGGAATGGGAAGCTGCAAGAAACTGTAATAATTTAGCCATTTCTCTCCCAGATCATGACATTTTAGAGTTGGAAGGACCATTAGTTTAATGACATCCTTGATACTGGATGTAATCAATTTCATACGTTACTGCAGAAGTTTAAAAATGACAGACACCAGTTAACTAGGGACTGATTTCTGAGGGATCACTTAAAGCCTGATGAGCTTCCAATGGAAAGGTGGGAGATGCTTCATGCGGCTTGTCATCCTTTCCCCACCCTGCGAAGTACATTAAGCAGGGAGGCAGAGCAAGAAGACAGCTGTTTTAATCCAAGGATGTGCAGAAGGTGGGCAACAATCCTTCAGAAGCCTGTGGTTTCAGCATTATGGGTCGTATTTGCCCTGTATTTTATGGCAGAAGCAGCCTTGAGCAAAGGATGAATGTACTGTTGCTTGGCAAAGAAAGCAAAAATAGGTGCATCTCAGTCTTGTTCATCGAGGCATTTGCAGCGTTAAGAGAGATCAGCTACGCCTCTTAACTCTGAAAGAGATGTCGAAGAGCCATTCTTGCCTTGGAGATTTCACACACCCTCAGCAGACCATGAGGATTGTAGCGGAGAGAGAAAGAAATGGGAGGGTGGCGAAGGGAGAGCAGGCAGCCCCTCCCTGCGCTACCGGGATCGCCTCCTCATCGGGTGGGGTCCACGCCGCCTGTGCCTCTGGGAATGAGAGCCGTGAGTGCCCTGGGGGAAATGCCCAGGTAACCTGCCCCACAGAGCCCAGCCGCCCGGACACACCCCGGTTGAGTCCGCCCAACTATCCCCTTATAGAGACACCTTGTAGGCGCCGTAGTTGCTCTCGGGGTCGTTCAGCGGGACCCGTCGCTCGTCCACGAAAGCCAGGAGCCAGCGGGCAGGGCAGGCGACAGCGGTGGGCAGCTCCTGGGCCAAGATCCGCACCAGGCTCCCACCTGATAGACCCAGGGAGAAGCGCCCGCCGGGCCCGGACTGAGCCTCCCGCTGGGCCACCAGCTGGGCCAGCGCCGAGCCGAGCTCCTGCGGAGAAGGGAAGACAGAGACTTGGGGCGGCGACGCTGCCGCGGCCGGGCCGCGCCGTGACACCGAAGAACCGGGCATGGCGAACGCGACGGGAAAGTGGCGGGGTGGGGGAACTGAAAGGCCAGGCAAGGAAGCCGGGAGGGACCCATGGCGGAAGGCGCACAGCCGGGCGGAAGCACGAGCGGTAGGCAGGGCACACTTACGGAAGAAGGGGACCTTTCGTTGGGCGTGGAGAGGAGGAGGAGCAAAAGAACGGAAAGTAATGCAGGTGGAGGAAAGTTTGCCACAGTGCCACCGGAAGGAAATGAAGCCACCGCCTTCGCAACTAGTAACTGGCGGAGACGACCGCTTCCAAAGCGCTGGGAGCTGTGTAACCCTCGATCCACTTACTTTCGAGTAACGCTATTAGGACTTTTGAGTAGACCCGTGTAGCTTATTGCCTCTGTTATGGTCTGGGTAACTGAGTGGGTGAGTCTTCTGTAAATCTCCTAACTGAAAGCTGCTCATAGAAATCCAGGATTCTAGTGTAGCTATGATTGAGTCCCAGCCCCTCTCTCTCCTTCAACCCTAGAAAAAATAGCAAATGACAAACATTAAATGCTTTTGGTTATTTTTGCTGTAGGGGATTTTGCTTAGTCCAGCATGTGCAAATATTCTGTTGTCGAGTCGTCTCGAATTTATGGCGGCTCTCTGAATGAATCTCCTGTAAGCTCAAGGCCATGGCTTCCTTTATGAAATTGAGCTATCTCCTATTTGGTTATCTTCTGTCTTTTACTTTCCATTGTACTATTGTTATTCTCTCCAGTGAGTCTTACCCTTTCAGGATGTGCCTGTATAGCAGCTTAATTTTTTGTCATTTTTGCTTCCAGGGAAAGTTCTGGCTTGATTTAATCTACAATACACTGTGTTGTTCCAGTGTGTTTGCAGAGCATTCCTGCAGCATGTTTTGAATGTATTCATTTTCTTATCATCTTCCAGGTTTCACACCCATAGAGAGAATACAATAGAGTGTAGATGATCTTGGCCATGGTCAGAAGGGAAATGCTACTGCTAAAACTGCATGTTAAGAGGTGGTGCTGAGGATATTTTGGGTTCCCAGCCAAAAAATAGCAAATACTCCCAGTTGAGTGGAGCAAGTAAGTCCCACCAAACTTTTCTCAGCCAATATCCAATGCTGAACTTTAGGCAGAAGCTTCACAATCCTGCTTGCAGAGGAACTCCAGTTTTCAGCCTATAATCCTATATCCTCTTAGCTGGGAAGGACTAAGCCCTATTGAATTTAGCAGGACTTATAAGTAGCATTGTACAGACCTGCTCAGAAATGTTCAAAAAGTAAAAGAAACAAATCCAGCTTTTTCAAGTGAGAGAGTTAGAGAAAGCCTGAACTCTGGCCTTTGTGTATGCTTTTTGTTTTTGAGGGAGGACACCTACCCAGTCACACCTACAGTAAAAGCCTGGGTTTCTCCATTTGTTTGCATGGGCAGCTCTCACTTTCAGATACATGTCACTTCCATTTCTGGCTGTAAATAGCTCACAGAAATAATTGAAGAAAATTAAAGGCTGTTTCACAGGGGTTTGTTTTATATAAGATCTTTCCATGACATAAAATGGAAGCCTACACTAGGAGCTTGAGATGGGAGTCCTAAGATGTTAGATGCAAATTTCTGCAGAAAGGGTTACTTACCACCATGTGCTCCTGTGCCTTTAACAGTAGCAAAACTGTACTGTCTTTTCATGGATGCAGTGTGTGTGTGTGTGTGTGGGGGGGGGTCTCTGAAATACAGAGCTGTAACAGCCATGAACCACCCATTACATAGTTAGGCCCTGTATCTTAAGGGCCCAACTATTTACTGAAAACAGAACCAACTTAACATGAAAGGAAACCCAGTTTGTTAAGCTGAAGCATCTTCAATTAATGGTTAATTGCTCAAACAAGCATGTTCAGCTTACTTTAGTATGGGCTTACTTGCTCATAGGGAAAAGCAAAGCAAGTTGCCTATTCTACCTGTTACAGTTTTGGTTTAATTTTTTTCAGTTTTTTTTAAATGCAAGCATGGGTGTTGGCCTATAGTATATTCTTTGTGTTGAAGCACATGCCTACTGTCCTACAAAAGAAAGGAAGCAAACTATCTCCTATAGCTATGCTTGTGCTGTTCATGATAATTTTCTAAAAAAAAAATACTTCGAAGGTTAGGTAATCTTCAAGGTATACAACTTCTACAATTAAACATGCAGAGATACATTTTTCAGTTCATTCTCACTTCAGATGAAAGGAAAAATAAAACCATACAAATGCATTCATGTGTATTCATCTAGTTACCCGAGTTCCTCAAGACAAGCACTTTTTGGTTTGATCTTACAATTTTGTAAAGGCATGTATATCGATAATGCTATATTGTAAACAATGATGTGGTAGGTCCAGACTAACAAACAACCCTATACACATTTGCTCAGTAATAATTCCTATAGCCTTCAATGGGGCACGCCCTTAGGATCACAGTGTAAATCAAACTTTTTATATTAATTTCAATGCACATCCACTCAGAAATCCTGTGAGTTCAATAGGCCCTACTCCTATAAGACGTTTAAAGGATTACAGCTCTAGCCTGGGCCTAATCCATGTCTTTTTAGAAAGTTAGGGAGAAACAACTAGAAGGTAAGTTTTCTTCCACAGCAAGGTATTCCATTGCATATGAAAGGGAAATGGAACTGAAGCCCTAAGAAATGTTGAGTACTGTTATCATTGTCCTCACTGCAACTTGCACAGCAACACTAAAGTGCACAACTAGCCCCCCTACAATAACTGAAGGAGCCTAAGGAATGAGTCTATTGTCCTGCTGTGAGCCACTTTAGCATAGAATCTTGACATTAGGAGCAAATTCTTCCAAGAGGAAAACAGATAATGACTAACTTAAAATGCATGACCAGAGAATAAGACCATCTTGTATCAGACTAAGCATGCTTTTTTCCCCAAAAGAGCTACCAGAAGCTTACTTGAAATACTCTGGAAACAGAAGAAAACCTAAGGTGTACTTACTGTGTAATGAAATTAATTGTTGAAATATATTTGATAGAAAATGCCTTGTTTTACAACTTGCATCAGTTATTAACTGTTTATTTAGAAGTAAGGTTAATTCTAGTAATGTTTAGATCCAAGGACAGAGAATATTTAAAGGTTAGTTTTAGGTTGCCAACTTAAAGTTTCTGAAATAAAAGTGAGGAGTCTGTCTTAAGCACACCCATTGTGTAGATTGTATTCCTATTAGGAAGGGCATCCATTAACTGAATGGAATATTACTAGTATATAAGTCTAGGTCAGTTCTCTAACAAAATGTTTTTACCAAATAAACACTCACTCTACAACACCACACATTGGCAGTACCAGTTACTCACATGTTACATAAATAAGACTTTGTTGAAGATTATTGCTGTCAAGGACTACGTGGCTTACCCTGACAAGGTGAACAGAAACATGAACTGGTTGCTTGCTGACTGGTGTCCTTTTCACTTGGCTAGTTTCCTTCACTGGTTTACTAAGCCTGACTGAACAGAACTGAGTGTTACTCAGATTGAAGACTGACCTTGTCTTTGATGTTTTCAGCTGCACGTCATTTCAAGTCAAACATTCTCACTCAGAAAAAGAGAACATAACACATGAGCAGGGGAGGAAAAAAAACTTCAGACATGCTTCTAAAGTGTCTTTATTCTTTTAATTCTTCCCCAAAATAAAGTTATATTTTGAAAAGAGAAACTATCTGAAAATGCAACTTTGTTTCCGAGTCAGTGCATGATTTCAAATCATGAGTGAACTCTGAAACAAAATAACTATGTTGTTTTCTAAATGAGGATCAGTTAGCTGTAGATACTGTTTTAACCAAGGATTAATAACACAGCTAAATTTACTACGCATGTTATCCGGCTTTGTCTGGTATGGATGAGAAGTTACGAAAGGCACATTCTGGATCTAATTGAAAGAGAAGGGAAAAAAACACACTCCACTGGTTTCTGAACCATGTCTTAACAATGCCCTGACTAGCACTGTGTGCACTCAGTAATACAACATAACATTGTTTTGCAGAAGTCTTTGTAAAAGGCCTTTATGCAAAGTTCCTTTTCTGCCAAACACATTCCACATCTACAGCAGCTCTGGGAATAGAAAAAAGAGAACTAGAACACTCAAGTTACAGTAAAATACTCACTAGGATATCCTAGCAGTATCTACAAGCAGCAGTGGTATGCCTCTTTCATACCAACATGATCAAAAGGAAGAATTATAGCATCTTTGAACATAAGGTCACTAGTTGCACTAGTGAAAAACTGCTGAATTAGAATCATCCAGAATCATGTACTGGTGGAAAGTAAATGTGAGGAATATGTTACGCATTGCTGTTGATCAGTTGCTGTGTTTCCTACACTAAGCAGGGTGGATCAGAAAGACCAAACAAATGTCGCCACTAAATTTGGTTCATACAGTTATCTGTTTCCCAAGATTCTGAATCAACAACAAATAATCATTTGAAGATCGCAGCTCTGGCCCAAGTATTGCCATTTATACCAACATGACTTTAGACAGATTAACAAAAGATAAACCAATGACTTCCCCCAAATGGATACCATGTACACATGCTGTTTATCATTCTGTAAATAAGTGGAAGCTTGCAAACACCATAGTATTCTTCTTCTAATAGGAAAGGACATTTCCTGTACACTTTTCTGAGCAAACTCGTTTTTCTTTAAATAAAGCCTTTTAAAACAACATACTTACTTCACCCAATTCACTATGTTTTTTGTTTTTAAGACCAACGTTTTTGAAGATAAAATGATGTTCCATTTTGACAATCCCTTAATGATCCATATAAGCACAGTGGTAGATCTCACAGTGATCACAACTGAAGGACTCTCAATGTATAAATGAGGAACCTGGAAATCCCCTAATAATTGGAGGCTTTATACACAGTAATTACAGTACTGCCTCAAAGCAGTGAAACTTAGCCAAGATACACAACAGAATGCAACCTGATCAGTGTTACCGCAGGCTCAGTCACACCCACCATATTGAGGGCTTTTAAATGGTAATTACACAAACCATAAACCATTCCTGTTTCACACAGAGTTCCCCAGTGCAATGGCTAAAGAAAGAAGGAAACCATTCTAAAGACTGAACCATTGAAAAGGGCCACTCTCTTTGCCCAGGAAACAGTTAATGTGCTTTTTAAAACAGGTGAGGGCTACCCATTCCCACAACATAGTAGGTTTTGTCCAATTGTAGATGCTTTGAATGAAAACCTTGCCTCATTTAATTTAGTCAAGTCTGTTTCCTATTCAAGCAAGGCTCTCCAAATCCAAACTCTTCACCAATGGCTTTTACTGTTGAAATCACAGCGATGCCTTTCCAGCTTGGATCCTCTCAAACACACACTCATCCATTGGTATGTACTTGCCAAGTTTTACATCCAAGAAATATAATCGATCAGATATCTGGTGTGGGTTGTAGGCTTCTCTTTGCAAACGGGTCTTTTGAATTTTAAAAGTGCCTGTTGAAAAATGGAAAAGGAAGGAACAGAGATGGTTAAAAATGGATACATTCTTCAGAGTGGAAAACAGGTGCAGAAGCAAGATTGTGCATATAGCTGCAAGATGTGATCAACATGATCAAAAAGGGGATTGGGAGGCATGGAGTCATCGCATGAAGCTGATTGTCAGTGGGAGATTCAGGAAAGATAAAAGGTAGTACTTCAGATAGTGATTAATTAAACTATGGCATTCACTCTCCAGGATGTAGTGATGGCCACCAATCTGGATGGCTTGAAATGGGGATTGGACAAATTGATGGAGGACAAAGTTGTCAAGAATTACTAGTCCTGAGGGCTACGAGCTACCTCCAGATCAGAAGCAGCATGCTTATGTACCCCAGTCATTGGAGAACACTGGTGAGAGGGTACTGTTGCACTCATACTTTGCTAGCACGTTTCACCTGGGCACCTGGTTGGCCACTGTGTGAACAGTATATTGAACCTGATGGACCCCCATATAATCCAGCATGGTTCTTAATTCAAAATTTATCAAGATTCAGAAGAATACTTTATTTCTGTGAGGCAGGGGTACCAGTTCTAGGTAGGTTATTACTAAAAAGGGAGGGGAAGGGGTGAGACAAGAATTACTGTGATGTTAAAAATGTTTCCAGTGTAGAATGTGAAGGACCACTCGTTGCTTTATTTCAAAATCAACCTTCAAAATCAACCTCACATAAAGCCAGTAGTGCCTTAGAAATCAAATACAAAAGTAAAAAAACCAAAATCAAGGACATCTATGACAATTCATTCTTACTCTTAACTGCTTGCCCCAGTAGCAAGTGGCCACATGACCAATGCTACCCAACCAACGGATTGAGCTGCAGGCTGTCACTAGATGCTAGAGAAACTAACCAAGAGACATCTTTAATAAGGAACTCAGGATGGCCACCCTCTCAGAAGTCAGTTGGGAATTCTGCTTACATTTGGTCTACAGGTTTGCAGAACAAGGCATTAAGCACAGTGCACCACTTCAAGTCCGTATTGGCAAGGAAAGCAGATAGCTGAATGCCCATCTACCTTAAACTGAACTTGATGCAAACAGGAAATCACAGCAGCCAAGGGACTACCAGGACTTATGAATCTATCCGCAGGAAGTATTTTACATGGGAACTTTCAAATGTGGTGTTTATTTGATTTGTTTGAAGGCTGCAAATTAGTATTGTGCTCTCTGGGTATCTCCCATTTATAAACTGAGCTGGCTCACCACAGCTTCTTTCCCCCTTTCCCACTGCCAAGGAGGCCCCAAAGCAAACTGCCCAGCCTGCTTTTGTGATCTTAATACAGCAGCCATGAGCAGCCTCATCAAAGGTGCCACATCAGTACCTAAGAGAGACTGCCAGTGGCTGCCCAGCATTTAAAAAAAATTGCACACAAAAAAATAGGCATCAAAATAATATAATAATGGATTATAATGGATTGACTATAATAATGGATTAACACAGTTATGCAACTGCATGCATTTCAAGCCTTGGAGGCACAATGCCAAGTAGTAGCAGGTACCCTGGACATTGCCCTGAGGCTTGAAATCCCTTTCCCCCAGCCTCAGCTTTCTTGTGACAGCTTGCTGTATGAGAGCTACCAAGAAAAACCCAAAGCATGAGGGATCTCTGGATGAAAGAGACATGTTTGGGAGGATTTTCAACTCTTTCTCAGCAACATCCTCAACTCCCCCTCCCCCACTGCAATCCCTATGGAGGGGCACAGTTTGCACATTGTCTTGAGCCTCTGGGGCTTGGGAAATGACAAAAATTGGCTGTCTTTTTTTTGGCATATGCTTAGAGCAAAACAAAAATACTGGGCAGCCATAGACAGCCCCTCCAAGAATCATGAAAGATGGCTGGACAAGTGGTGAAGAGGGAGGGAAAAGGCTACGGCAGACCTGAAGGAACAGAGAGGTAGCAGGGAGAGAAGAAAAGTCTTGTTCTTTCTGCAATGGTCCATGCAATATCCATAGGAGGGAGAAAGGGAGTCTACAATCCAGTCATCTGGCAAGGCTCACTGTGGGTTATGGACACAGTGGTTTAATGCAGATATGTCCCACATGTTCTCCTCATGGGTTGTCCAGGGTTAGGAAGCCATGCCTTGTTGTTATAGGCGGGGTCAGATAGCATAACCCATATTTGAAGGACACCCCATGGTTCAATGGACCTCAAGTTCTATTTTATTCAACAATGCCACAATTTCTTGTTAATAAGGGTGGAAGCTGACTAACTGCTGGAGCTGTAGCTCTGCTACTGCTTCTCAAATCATACTTTGATTTGACACATTCAGTATTATAACAGATGACATACAAATGGACATCCATTTAGCTATTTGGCCTGCCTTTGTTCAAACTTTTTGTATAATGAACCACCTGGATTTATGGTGTTCTAGCAATATTTACATTTTAAAAACTGTTGAAGTCAGGATTTGGGCTTTTTAAGTAAAATTTTGTTTTGGCTAAACACTCAATAATAAATAAATGGTTCATTGGAAGCAGTTGAACAGCAGCTTGTCACAATCAATTCCTGCTGCTTTGCATGTCCCACCCCCTTCCCCCTTCCCCTCCAACTGCCACCAACTGACATCCCTCCCGCCTGTTCTCCCCTAACATTCCATGCCTCTCCCTTCCCCAGCCCAACAGAGACCCACCAGGAATAGCCCAGGCAACCCACACATGAATCTGGAGAATACATGTTCTCCCATGAATGCAGGAGGCCAGCATACTTGGCGAAGACCCCTCCTCTGGGGCCAGGCAGGCAGACCTTACTGAACTTCCTGAGAAGGTGAGACCTCCCTGGAAATCTCCAGTTGTTGTTCCTGCCCTGTGGTAGAAGGCAGGCTTCCTCAGGTAAGTGCTACCCATAGAGCCGCTCTCCAGGCCATCTCCTAAGCCACTGTGTAGCTCCAGAATCAAACAGCAGAGACCTACTGGGTCTTCTAGAAGAAGTCATTTGCCAAATAAAGGTGGAGAGCTGGGACCTTCTGAGGGCAGATAGCCCCCCTCGCCCTGTTTGCTGTAGCAGTAGCTTCTACAAGGAGAGGGAGTATGGGGATAGGTATCCTAATTCCCATTCACACTCACCCTCCAACCAGAAGGAGAAAGGACTGCTCCCGATCCCCCTTAGGGTGCAGCCACTCCCTCTCACACCAGGCATCCTACCCATGTGGGATGGAAGTAGTCATGAATGGAAAACGAGGGCCCTCCCTCCTGCCCCCTCAGGGACCAGGGATTGAAGCCCCCCTCACAGGAGGTTTAAGTGGTCCAGCTCAGACTCAAAAAGGCATAGCAGAGGGAGAAAGAAGGGGTGCTCACCAGCCCCCACCTATTCATCACATGATGGCCTACCAGCCCTCTTCCCCTCCCCCCCCCGCTCCCAACTGCCACCAACTGGCATTCCCCCCCTTTCTCCCCTAACATTCCATGCATCTCCCTTTCCTGGCCCAGAGGAAGTCCACCTGGAATAGCCCAGGCCCAATGGCAAGCCACTCATGAAGCTGGAGAACACACGTCCCACACAAAGCCATGTTTACTGAGGAAATGCGAGTGATGGGGTGAAATGGGAAAAGGGGCACTGACAGGATGAAAGGGCAGAAAATTGGGGAATTCTCCCCAGACCCCATATTTGCCTTATGGGTAAAACATAATTAAGGCTGTAAGTTCCCTTAAAACACGTAGCTCTCAATTCTTTAGTTAAAAGATGGGAAAGATATAGATTTCTTTGTAAATTACTTGCATGCTCTTCAGCCAGTCCTTTCCAACAAATTATTTTAAATACATCACATGTCTATGCGTTCACTAACCAAGGATTTCATATTTTGGGTAAAACATGAGACAGATCAATGCAGAGAGAAAAAAAACCCAGGGGACCCCACAGACAAGGAAGAGAACTGCATAATGTGTATTCAACCACCCAGAGCTTAGAGGAATGGGGCAAAATATAAAATCAAAGCCAATGAATGAATGAATGAATGAATGAATGAATGAATGAATGAATGATGCCTCTTTTGGGGATATAGGAACAGCATAAAAATACTTCAAAATAACTAATACTGTTGCAAGTTAGGACTATTCTGTACCTCTGATATTATGTGAGCTGGTCCTCACTAGCAGGAGTGCTGCAAAGTAGTAAAACAATTCAGAGCAGGAAAAAGTCCATTACACTCTCCTTGGAGTATCCTCCCCAGTTTTCAGAATAAGACTTCCCTTGTTACCCGTAACCTGAATTCCAAGTCATTTGTTCTGACTCTCTTTTCTGGGTATCTCCTTTATACCCAGCTTTTCCTCCAAATTATACAAAAGTCACCCCTTCACCATTTTTGGTAGAAAGCACTCCCACTGCTGTTATGTTGAAACAAAGATAACTGGGCAGGAGTAAACACATATGTGAAATCTGTAGGATTTTGTTAATTTGATCAGTCTTGAGATCTCAAACCAAAACTGTACAAATCTTCCAAGCTTTTCTGGCAATAAGAGCTGGATTTTCTTGGAGTATAAACCAGCCATATCAAATGATGGTTTGCTGCTATCAGATCTGGTTGCAACTCACTTTGAGAATGGATGTTTCTCACTTTTTCAAACCAAAGCAGATTTTCCAAGCCTATACAAATCAAGAAAAGCCTCTTGATTCCAGGGTGAGCATAAGCTAGAATGCCAACACACTGAAGCAAACAGGCATTTCCTTTGTGAGCATGGACAATGGATTCTTTAGCAACAAACTTGCCCAACAGCCTACTTGGAAATCCGTGCAATTTGCAAAAACACCCACTTAGAACACATCCTGTTTCTCTACAGCAAAATGAATGAAAGAATTTTTGGGAGTTAGATCAGCTGCTTCACAAAGTGCAGGCTTGGCTGTTGAGCAAGAAAATGTCTGTGTATTATGTATTAATGTGGTCTATTTCCCAAAAGCAGGCACGTTAAAATAATAAGCACCTGCAGTTACTATATTTGATGGCCTGGAGGTCAGCAATCCCAAGAAATAATACAACTCCCCACCCCCACCAACAAAATTCAATAGTGCTCATAGTTGGAAGAAATAAATGTTCATAATAAACTGATTTACTACAAGCTACTGCCAGAACCTTTTGAGAGGAAGCAACTCCAACTTTGCCTTCACTTTTACCCAGTGTTGCAGTTCTTCAGGGCTGGGGCAAAATCCAACTTCCATGACACCCTAGTGAGGTTTGTCTGGGTTTCCCAGATGCCCATGCCCATGCCCATTCCTGCGGCCTCTTTTAGCAATTTTAGCATGTAGGCTTCATACTTTTTGCCTTCTGCTCTACCTACTACTGATATGTGGTCCCCCAAGAACCTACCCAAAATAGAATATGCCCTTGAACTGAAAGAGTTTCTACGCCCCTACTTTAACCTCATCCAACACAGAGGAACAGAACTGAGGACTGAAAGACTGTGGGATTTTGTTATTCAGGGTAAAGTACTGCACTATTACTTCAGCAATCAGGAAACCAGTGTCAATTTAACCCTTGTTCCTAAGCTATGTGACAGGAGAGGATCTTACTACTGATGTATAATTACCTGTAGTGTCAACCTGTGGCAAAAGTCGGAGGAAGATTGGCCGTGCATAAGGGGGTAACACTTTCTGCATCTCCAGGTATAGCATGTTAGGGTTCAATTTTGCTTCTGGGTCAGCGATAGCTGCCATTCCAGCCTTCCCTTCCACTCCTGAAATGTAAAAAGCAAATGTAAAGCACACCCCGGTACACACTTTCTGACACAACAAACAGGGCAATTAGCTTCCAACTTCTCAAAATCTACAGCTGGAAATCAAAGCAGGTTGCACCTTGCCTTCCTTGGAAAAACTCTTCAACAAGAATAGGAAAAATAGCCTGACCTCAGCCTCTAGCTAAAGAAGCAGCAGCTGAAGCCTTCTCACTTCCTACCAGAAAGAATCCACTCTAACTGCTAGCTTCATTATGACTGCAATACAAATGTCACAAGCTAAAGACCTGCTGATTCTAGCAAGTACATTAGAAGGGAACCAATAGCCTGGCTCTAAAAGGATGCACATGCCTGTTACAACTTGCCCCTTTGTTTGACCTTCCTCAAACTGATATGCCTGTACGTTTTGTATTTTAGTCTGTAAGCCTGAGAGCATGGCCCATGCTTTATTAACAGTACTCAACTTTTCAGAAACATCATGTACTGAATATTAATTGCTTCAAGGGACTTGGTTTGTGGTCAGAGCATGTGATAAATATATAATAAAAAAATTGAAACTGGGGGACTGAACAGCAGTTGATAAGCAGCTGACAAAACACTTGCTAGTCAAAAGATACTTGCTGTCCTCTTGATTGCAATAGCTGTTACTTTGAATCTTTTCTTTAAGTCAATGCTATTATTCAGTGACTCAGCATAAAGGATAGTTGTATTCTGTTCTAACAGTCCATGCCAGAAATCTGTGCTGTGCTATTAAGAGCGACCAAAAAGAGCCCTTTGGCAGAAGGGAACATAACCAGCCTAAATAAGCTACTGAAAATATTATGCAGATTCCAAATGTCCAAATGCTCCAAATATTATAAGTAAACAGTCTCAGTGACAAGGACAACAGCAGCTGACCAACAGCCGGTATTTCTGAACAAACTGTTTCTCTTGGGTATGTCCTGGGATCATCCTAGGTGGTAGTACCCCTGGCATTTCATTTCCTGCTTTTGTTGTATTGCAATATTCTGTATAATGAATACTGCAATACAACAAAGAACAAGACAAATATCATGAAGATCACCACCTCCTTCAATCTTCTTCCTTAAAAAGAATAGGAAAACTAGCAGGCCCACCTATAAGTAGGTTTATTCAAGAGTAAGTAACCCCACCTGCTACATAAAATAACTCATCTAAACCATTCACCATCACAGGATCTTCACATGGCTGACTGGTGTTCCTACACTGCTTTTTGTTCCACCAGACTTGGAACCATACACAGGAAAGCACATTATCTTCCATTTTGTAGTGTAGATCCTTCCCTTACTGCAAAGGTAATGTAAGAAACAGAGGTAAAATAGGCTGAGAAGATGCTATGACTTCTTCCCATTCTTGCTGTGCCCTACTTGCCTAGGAAAGTAACACTAGTGTGGGGAAGAGCTACAGTATGGGTTCCTCCAACATTACTTCCATGGCATGGGAAAGGCAGGTTATTACCTGTAACTGTTGTTCTTCAAGTGACCATCTGTGCATTCACACATTATGGGTGCTGCGTCTGTGCAGTGCCTGTTGCCAGGAAGATTTAAAAGCTTTAACAGTTTTGGCGGGAACTCCACACTCCCCCCCCCCTTAGTGTAAAGGGGTGGAGTGCCCGCCATTTTTCCAGTCAGCTGGAGTCTGTCCATTCGCCCCCAAGTGGAGAGAGTCAGTAATGAATTCGACTCATAGAAAAAAATACTAGCAAGACAAGTAGACAGAAAAGGAAGGGAAGTATACCTGTAATGTGTATACCCAAGGGGGAAAAGGGGCATATACACAAATATATATGTATACATATCATCATATAGAAAAAACAGAGTAAATGATGAACTTAACAAATACCCAGTCACCGACACAGAGTGGGGCCAGTGGGCGGGTCATGAGAATGCACAGATGGCCAATCAAAGAACAACAGTTACAGGTAAGTAGCTCGCCTTTCTGTGCATCACACATTATGGGTGACTAGTAAGCTTACCACACCCGGAGGCAGGACAGTGTCATCACTGGAGAACTGTAGAGAGGACGGCCCAGCCAAGTCTGGCCCTGACATCCAAGTGATAGTGCCTTGCAAAGGTGCATGGCGTAGACCACGTAGCTGCTCTGCAGATATCATGTAGAGGAAACCCTGCTCAGAGTGCTAAGGAAGCAGCGACAGTTCTGGTGGAGTGTCCCTTTGGAGTAATAGGCAGGTCCAAGTTGGAAAGATGATAGGGCAGTTGAATTGTCTCAACAATCCACTTTGAAAGTCTCTGAAAACTGACTGGAAGACCCTGTTGTGTTCAGAGTATTTGCCGAAGAGTTGTTTAGACTGCCTGAACAATTCGGTCCAGGATTGATGGAAAGCTAGGCATTGACGGACATCTAAAGTATGTAGGAATCGTTCAATCAATGTTGATGGAGCCAGAAAAAAGGCTGGCAGAACAATGTCTTGGTTCAGATAAAAGGAAGTTGCAATTTTAGGCAGGAAACCTGGATCGATGTGAACAACTACTTTCTCCTTATGGAAGTTATGGAGGGTTGATGCGGAGAGCACACAGTTCACCGGCTCATCTAGCCAAAGTAACTGCTACCAAGGCAGTTTTCCATGAGAGAAGACAAAGGTCCATTGTAGGCAGGGGGTTTGGTTAGAGCTTGAAGAATGACAGAGAGGCTCCAAGTTGGAACTACCATTCGGGTTGGTGGGTGGAGGTTCTGCAGACCTCGTAGGAATTGATGAACAAGATAATCAGAGAAAACAAACAAGTCTCCAATGCATCCTCTAAAATGTGATAGCAGCAATGAACAACTTAACAGAGGGTGGTTTAAGACCTCCTTGGTGAAGTGAGAGTAAAAAGTGGAGAATATGTTCGATGGTGGCTGAATCAGGATGGAAATGATGCATAGTAGTGAAGGAGGCAAAGCGCTTGCATTGGGCACTGTAGGAATGACATGTGGCCAGTCGTAGTGCAGATTGGAGAATAAACTGAATGTCAGGATGAGAAATTGTCAGATTTGAGGAAGACATTGGTACTGATGATGAAGGTGAAGGCAATACAGGTGTGGAGAGAGCAAGTGCTGAAGATGTAGATGGAGAGACTGACATTGAACCCAAGGAAAATGTCGGTACCAATGTAGAAGAGAGAGTCAATGGACAAGCCAAGCTGTGAGGTTCAGTGACCGCAGATCTGGATGTTGAATGGCACTGTGTTGCTGAGTGAGAAGATGGGGGACTTGAGGTAGGTGGAAGAAATGGTTGCGAGATAGTTGTAGAAGAGTGGGAAACCAAGGCTGTCGGGGCCATCATGGAGTAACAAGAATTCCACGAGCAGCATCCTGGCGAATCTTGGCAATTGTCCTCATTATTCATTAATAATGAGTACTGGTAGGAAGGCATAGAATTTGTTCTCCCACGATACTGTGAGGGCATCTTCCATCGAGTCCATGCCGATTCCCGCTTGAGAACAATACATTATGCAGACAGTGTTGTTGCGGGTCACAAACAAGTCTATGTCCGGTGTGCCCCAGTGTTGGAACAAGTGAAGGCAGATTTGGTGATCCAGTTCCCACTCATGATTCGATGACATATGTCTACTCAGGGTATTGGCTTTTTTGTTGTCGGTACCTGCAAGATGTACAGCTTGTAGAACTATTTTGTGTGAGATGCACCAGTTCCATATGCGAATGGTGAGATTCCCTAACGGTACCGGACTTTGTGCCACCTTGTTTGTTCAGTTAAAAACCAGTCACTATATTGTCAGACACTACCTGGATCGTGTAACCCTGGAGGACAGGCTGAAATGAGCAGAGCGCTTTGAAGACTGCCAGCAATTCAAGGAAATTGATATGTCTGGTAGTCTCGTGGCCATGCCAGGTGCCCTGGGTCTGAAGGGAGATACAGTGGGCCCCCCATCCAGTCAGGGAAGCATTGGTATAGATGATAATCGTTGGATGAGGTAGATGGAATGGGACTCCACAGGAAAGATTGGAATCGATCGTCCACCAAAACAGGGTGCGGAGTACCAAATGTGGCGGTTGAAGCACTTGGCTGGGTCGATTGTGGTCTGGGTGCGATTGAACCAAAGTTGTAAAGGTCTCATTCGCACTCTCACGTTTGGAACCACCGCCACCATGGACACCATATGTCTGAGTATTTGCTGCATGGAGTGTGCAGAGGAATCTTGTCTGGTGATGATGTTCTGGATAGACGAAATCAGTCTCTCTTGTCAGTCCCAAGCTAGGAAGGCTCGAGTGTGTACTGAGTCCAGACGTGCTCTGATGAAGTAGATAACCTGAGAAGGAACAAGGCATGATTTCTCAGTATTAATGTATGGTCCCAGACTATCAAGGAGGGAGCAGGTTGTATGGATGGAGGCTAAGAGCTCGTCCTTAGAGGAGGAGACTATAAGTCAATCATCCAAGTAAGGGTAAACGTGAATAACCTGAAGGTGAAGGTGGGCACAAATGGGAGCCATACACTTGGTGAATACCCATGGAGTGGTAGCAAGGCCAAAGGGGAGCACATTCTATGTGAAGACGTTGGAACCGAAGGAGGCACCTATGAGCAGGATGGGTGATAATATGAAAATAAGTGTCCTTTAAGTCAAAGGATATGAACCAATCCTCTCCTGAGCAATGGAAGAATGTTCTGGAGTGTGGTCATTCGGAATTTTTTTGGGTCTAATATATTTATTGATGCCACGTACATCCAATATTGGGCATAGACCACCATCATGCTTTGGCATGGTAAAGTATTTAGAGTAGAAACTGTGCAGTCCTTTGGAGCAGCTAACTTGACGAATCGCTCCCTTACAAAGCAGCTGAGATACTTCATCCCAAAGTGTCTGGGAGGCTGTTGTATAACGGATTGGTCCGACAGGTGGAACAGTCTCAAACTCGATTTTGTATCTGTGCCCTAGAATGAAAAGAACCTACTTATCACACGTGATGGACTCCCAGAAGGGGAATTGACTTCGCAGTCGATCCCCAAAAGGAAAAGGGGAAAGTGGGTTGGAAGTGAGAGGAGAGGTTCGCACACATCCTCAGTGAGGGCATTTGTCAGTGTCAAGTCGGTGCCTGGGCTGCTGGAATCAAGGCACATTCTGCCGGTGGTTGCACTGCTGCCTCTGGCCGTATTGCTGGTGCCCAGATGGGATGGGTATGGTAGTTGGTAAGGCTGGTAGTGGTATTGGGATCTGCCCCAAGGCCCCTTACGTCTCTTTTGGGATGGAATCTCCATATGTTGTGCCGTAAGACAGGCCTTCTGAATGTTTTCCAGCTTGTCATCTGTTCTGGTGTTAAACAGGCCAGAACTGTCAAATGGCATGTTCTCTACACACTGCTTGGTTTCCTGAGGTAGATTCCCAGATCTTAACCAGGCATGTCTACAAAGTGCAATGGCACTGACAAGACCTCGAGAATCACAATTGACATAATGTCTCGCTGTGTTGAGCTGTTGCCTGGAGAGCTGCATTGCCTCCCCAATGAATAGATGGGCCAGATCCTTTTGTTGGTCTGGGAAGGATGCAGTGAGGGACTTGATCTTCTGCCAACGGAAGAATTGATAACGGGCCATGGTGGTCTCATAGTTCAAGATGCAAAGACCGAGTCCCATGGCGGCGTAGATGTGGCGAGACAACATATCGATCTTTCTGCCCTCTTTGTCCACTGGGGTGGAATGTTCTTTATTTTGATGTCCCTGAGAGGACTCAATGACAATCGAATTTGGTTGAGGATGTTTCAACAGGAAAGGGATATCCTGTTCCTGAACTTTGTACATCCCCCTCGAGGTGTCTGGAGGTAGGAGGAGGTGGGTTAGGCAGCTGCCAGGTATCAGTCATCACCCGCTTGAGTGTGGTAATAAACGGCAGGGGATAGATGAGGAGTCTTCCTTATGAAGTCGAAGACATTGCCTTGGTTCGGATCAATATACTGCTGAACGTCTATCTCCAGAGACTTAGTCATGCGGGAGAGTAACTCAGAAAAGGTTCCCTGAGAGTCACCTGGAGACCCAGGGCCCTGAGTAGAGATGACCACATCTGGAGATGTCGACGCTTCTTTAGAATCGTCCAAGTCCAAGTCTGAGATGTAGGGTGGCCTAGACGAGGAACCTCCAGGAAACATGAAGGGGTCAGCGAGTGCTGCAGCAGATGTTGACAGTGCGTCTCTCGACACAGAGTGTGTCGTGGAGTGGCAAGGATGTGGCATCAGACACAGGTAGTACCCATACAGGGGATAGTAGTCCCATGGGTAAGGTCAATCAAAGCAACCAGGATCAAACTCCCCATAAGGAAGGGGAACCCAGTGCTGCGACGGCTGTGGAGCTAAAGGTGGAGGCTGCAAGAGGGACAAGGGGCATTGAGGCAACTTCGGAGATCCCTCCGGAGATGAGTGAAACACAGGCGTAGATGTTGGAGATCTTGCAGGCAGTTCTTTGAGTACTGTTCGAGGAGGAAATTCACAGATCTCTCCGTTGGACATAGAGCCTCTTGCCGGGGCATCGGGACTGGAGTGAGGCAAAGTCGTAACCCTTGGAGGTGATGATGGAGAGGTCACCTGCATCAAGGACTGACGGCCCGAGGCTTCAATCGGAACCAAGGTCGGAACCAAGATCGGGACCAAGGCCAAGATGGAGGTCAGCTCCAAGCACAGCGGCTTGTCATGTTTCTTCTGCCGCTGCTCGGGCTTATCAGGTTTGTCCTTTTTGGATCATTTGGACTTTGAGGAGTTGTTGGATTCGATATGCTTCCTCTTCTCCTTGTGCTTATGCAGAGGAAGACTAGAAGAGCACTTTCCATCCTTGGCAACTGAATCCCCGTCAGATGGTTTAGCAGATGGGGGTTTAGATGGTCCTGCAGCTGCAGAGCTGGCCTCAGCCGAGACCTGCTTCATGGTGACCAGGGCTTGGTCCCATAGCATCTTGCACAGCCTATTCTCATGATTCTTTCGTGCCTGTCTTGTAAAAGACTGGCAATGGCTGCACTTATCTGTCCTGTGGCCTTCCCCAAGACAGAGGCGGCACAGGTCGTGAGGATCAGGGGGGACGTTTTAGCCCCACACTGGGAACACTTATGAAAAGCTGCCTGCTGCACCATCAAGAGAAGAAAAAGAGGACACAGTGAGTGTATAACTTGGAAAAGAAGGGTGAAAGAAGGGTTTTTTAATATATATATTTATATTTTTGAAAGGGGTAGGGTAGGGTTTAGGGGAAAGTGGGGTTAGAAAAGACAGAGCAACTGGGAACAGGGCAAACTGGGACAGAGTAACTATACGTGAAAGCAGAATGAAGACAAGAAAGGAGCTTCTTAACCAGATCTAGCAGAACAGCAAGAGTGAAAAGAGCCCAAGGCACAGTGAACGGCAGTTGCAAGCAGACTGGGGAAATGGGGGGCACTCCTCCCCTTTAAACTAGGGGGGGGGAGGGTGCAGAGTTCCCACCAAAACCCTAAAGCTGTTTAAACTTCCTACAATGTGTGATGCACAGAGGTCATGATGAAGAAGGAGCCCTGCTGCTGAAAAAATGTAATGTCCATAGAAACCTTCAGCAGGAGCTCCTCTTCCAGAGGGAGCAAATACTTCTTAAGCACTTGAGCAGGGATGTGGTAAGCCCCAGGGAAAGCAACAGCAGTTGCCCTGATGCAAAATACAGCCCTGCTCTATTAATTTGAAGAAGTTTGTCATCTCATCCAGTTAATGTGCAATGCAAGTTGCCCTTTTTGCTTCTTCAGGCAGATTTGTTTGTTTCCGGTTCCAGTTTTATTATACCTCACATGGATAAACTCACCAGTAGAGGATGTGAACACGTATAAAACAGAAGGGCAGCACCTTCAGGGTGCATTCTAAAGGGAACACCTTCCAAATGATTTCTTGCTTATCATTAGACTTAGGTTATCAAATTTTATTAGGATTGACATTTGCTGAACCCTTTCTATACCCACTGTGGCTTTCCATTGGGCCTTTCAAGTCAGTTCAAAGAGATGCACACTGAGTATACAATCTGGTCACATTTTTAAACTAGAGGCAACAGCAGCAAGGAATTCTAAAGGAACCACAATGTCCTCCTGCCTACTTAATTCAGGTTTGTATGGTGAGAAGTTTTCAAACTGTTGCTCAAAGGATGTCACATGAATTTGAAGACAGAGTGAGAACTGCTCAGAGAACACTCCTGTCACTGCAAAGCACGCCTGTGATCCTGAAAGTCTGCATCCTTTGCATGTAAATCTACAAATCTGCTCACACAGATGTGCATAGTGTAACTAGCAGAAGTTCTCCAAAGTGTCATACTAGAATTATTCTGAGTCCTAATATGAAAGATTGTATTTTACTTGTCCAATAGTAATTCATGTTGAACAGCTTTGGCCAATAACTCCCCTCAGCCCCTAATAAGCACAACCAGTTGTGAAAGATTATAGGATCTGTAGCCCCAAACACCTAGAGGGCTACAAGTTGTCAACCCCTGACTTACCTGATGTTCTGATGTCATTTTTCCATAATGATATACCAAACTAATGGTCTATTTTCAAACTGTTGCTCTCTTCTGTTGTGCTGTTTCTATTTCTATCCTCTGCTGAATACAGCTTGTTTCACAGTGGATCATTCTTCCATCGCATCAGACTGCTTGCTAATGCAACAGCTGATTTTGAAACCAGACACACATTTGCCAACTTCTAAATCATAAATGCAGGATTCAAATTACCTGGCACCTCTACCCCATACACAGCAACATCTGTCTTGCTGAGGATGTGGCTGAGGATTCCCTCAACCTCTGTAGTGGAGACATTTTCCCCACGCCAACGGAATGTATCCCCACTCCGGTCTCTAAAGTACATGTAGCCCAGTTCATCCATCACTAGCACATCTCCTGCAAGAAAAGAGAAAGCTGGCCTCATTTATTATTCAGTGAAAGAGAATTACCTGCCCTTCAGCATCAAGATCTCTTGTTTTCTATGATTTTACAAAACTGTGCCTTCTAAGTAGATGTTCAGCAACTGAGGACCAGAGTAAAATAACCATGTGACTCCCTAGGTGTTAATACAATCAATCATGGGCAAGAATGGTTCAGGAGACAGAAGAGAAGGGTCCCCACCCTATGGCCAAACTATCCTTCAGAAACTGTTGAACAAACAAAACTAGTAGGCCCTTATGAGGACAACCATTATAGGTAGCTGATAACCCCTGCATATAGAGCACTGTTCCACTGATGCAGCCACATAGAACAAGCAGCATAGATCATTTGTTACTTCCCATTTAACTCTGTTTAATTGTCAAGTCTACATCGTGCTTCAATTTTATATTGTTGTTAAGCCCCTTGTTAGCCCTGGTGGAAAGGAGGACACATTTGAGCTAATGAACAACATCTTCATACATCCATGGTTGCAAAATACTGCTTCCCAGAGATAAGTCGTAAGAACAGTGATGCACTTTTCAACTATCACACTAGCCTGACACAGTTCTGGAAATGGAATTCTTAACTACAGAAATTCTGGGCCAGAAATTGATTTTTGCAATAAGCTGCCACCATGCAGGTGTGCCCAAGGAAGCATGTCAAATATCTGAACCTGCTGGAAAGGTAGGTTTTGCAATTCAATATAAACAAGATTATTCTTCTAGGCAGGAACCAATGATATTACCATTTACCACAAAAGCAGGCTGATGAGTACCTGAAAGATAAGCCTGGTCTCCTTTCTGGAAAACATTGTAGGCAATTTTTTTGTTGGTTGCATTCTGATTGACATAACCATCAAACCTTCGCAAAGGATCCTTCTGGTTTATTCGGCCCACAAGCAACCCTGGCTCTCCTGGGATCGGGGGGGGGGGGGGGGGGAAAAGACAGAACAACAATTTGCATAGCGATGTATTTCTAAAGCTGTGCTACCCTAAAATTATGCATTATATAGTATAATGGATAATATATAGTATTAGTATAGCATTTCAACTGTGAATTATACTGCAACATCAGAAGTATGATAGGCAAAGGATAACTGCTTTCCAATCAGCACATTAAAAAGTTTACTTCAAAATGCAGACCAAATTAAATCCACAAGCATCCCTATTATCATGTCACTGTTGGTTATAGACACAGCAACAGCATCTGTTAACTGTTGATAAAGTTTTGAGTCTCTCAGTACAGTTGCTCTGCATACACAAGATGTCTGATCTACCTACTTCTATGCTCCATGATTTTCCATAGGTCTCTAGTCAGTTTTTATTTCCCTTCCCCTGTCACCAATTGAATTTTTATCTCTTTGTTCTTTCCCAAAGATCTTTCCTGCTCCTTCCACTTACTGCATATTTATTCATGCAATATATTTTATCCCACCTTTCCACTGCTTAGGTGTTCAAGGTGGCTGACAAACATGTTGAATAAAGTATGCTGCAAATGTTACAAATACGTTTGAATAATGTTTGCAGCATACATAGGTGTATCTGCCCCACTAGGACAAAACCAACACACTCCCTCATTTTATACTTGATGCTTACGTAGCTTTCAGCCATTTTGGAATCAGTGGTACAGAAAAGAACATTCCTTCCTGGAAGAACATTCCTTCCCTGTCCTGATCAAATCAAGGAGCACAGCAAATAACACTGAGGTCAGAAGATAGGCATGCTCCTGCCATGAAATAAGAGCAGCTAGCATTGCACAGGGAACACTGACCCCATATTATAACTAAGTCACAAAAGACAGGATATTCATTGTGTATTACTTATTACATTTCTACTTACCTGGACGGCAGGAGATACAGAGACCATTTTCATTTCGAATCAATTCCATAGTATCTTCATTAACTTTCACCAAACGGATAGGATACACATTTGGCAAAATCCGGCTGTTGAAGCCACAGGCGCCAACCTACCAAGTTAATGAGCGATGCTTAAAAGCAAGTGAGGGCTAAACTTAGTCATCTGTCATGATTACATATTTATATCTCTCACAAAGGACGGCAAACAAACATCTTAAATAAATAAATAAATAAATAAATCTACATCTCAAAATGCACAGTAGTAACCACCAGAAAAAGGGCCTGCAAGTTTCCAGGACATACAGAGAGTAGAGGTGGCAGTGGAGGAATGCAAAAAACAAACAAAATCTAATGAGAGGAAAAGGCAGGGCTTTTTTTGTCATAGAATGCACCGGAACGGCATTCTGGCACCTTTTTTTCAACGGATTTTTCCACATGATTTTGAATTGCCCTGTCGGGCGTAGCAGGTTGGCGGCAAAATCATTAAAATAGTGCATGCAGGCTGCTTGTGTGTCCGTGCTGGTTGTGATGGCGCTGCTCAGCTTTTGATGCTGTTCGGCTTGTGATTGGTCGTGTGGTCGTGCGCTGAGTGCTTACTGCGGGCGGCAACCATTATGTTTCATTACACAGTGTTGGTGTGCGTAGAGTGACTGGCTATGTGCAAAAGGTAAATAATTTATTTTTAAAAAAGTTGGTGAATTGAAAATCTTTTAATTTTTAGTGTAAAAGTGTGACCCCAAATTTAAAAATGAAAAAAAAAATACTAATTACTTCTAAACCACCGGTCCTGCTAATAAAGGTTACCCTAAAAAAATCTTAAATAAAAGATTAACAAGATGTGAGTTCTGGCACCCTTTTTTTTTTTTTCTTTTACAAAAAAAGCACTGGGCCTGCTCAAGCCCCTAACAATATCTAGTTAAGTATTCTAGATACTCTCAAGTGAGATACTACAGTTAAGGGGAATGGAGGTCATGAAGTTTAAAAAAAACTGCTAAAAACACAAGAACAGGTATGCTAGATCAGACCAGTAGTCCATCTAACTCAGCATCACTTTTCCACAGTGACTAACCAGCTGCCCACAGGATCCCACAAGTAGGCTATGAATGCAACAGCAGCTTCCTGCCCAAGTTAACAGCAGGTAGTATACACATATATTGCCTCTGCTACTGGTGGTAACATATAGCCATCAGATCTAGTAGAGATGGCCTTGTTCTCCATTTGCTCAATCCTTTGTAAAGCCAGCTAAATCAGTTACCATCACTACATCCTATGGAAGAGAATCCGATTGTTTAATTATGCACTGTGTGCACCTCCCTTTATCTGTCCTGAATCTTCTACTAATCAGCTTCATTGGTTCTGTTACTATGAAAGGGACAGAAAAATGTCCCCTTTTTGAATTTCTCCACTCCATGTAATTTTGTATACTTCTATTTTATATCCCTTTGCTGTTTTTCGAATCTAAAAAATCTCTACTGTTGTAACATTTCCTCATAGGAGAATTGCTCTAACCCCATCTTCATTTTAATTTGCCTTTTTCTGTTTTCCGAACTCTATAATTTAGTATAGGAACCAGTTCTGTACATAATATTCTAAGTGCCATCACACAAGAGATTTGTGTAAGAGTAGTAGAACATTGGCAGTTTTAGTTTTAATGCCTTTCCTAATGCCCAACATGGAATTCACTTTTTCACAATAGCTACACACTGAGCTGACATTTTCACTAAGTTGCCCACCATAAAAGCAAGAGCCCTTTCTTGGTCAGTTACTGCTCGCTCAGATCCCATCAGTTTACACTTAGAATCATAGAATAGTAGAGTTGGAAGGGGCCAAGAAGGCCATTTGGTCCAAACCCCTGCTGTTGCAGGACACCAATATGTACCATCCCACTCAGATGGCTGTCCAGTTTCTTTTTGAATGTCTCTAATGTTGGAGAGCCCACAATCTCTCTAGGCAACTGGTTCCACTGCCGTATAGCTCTGACAGTGAGGAAACTTTTCCTCATACAAGCAGGTTGTTGTTGTTAGTCGCGAAGTCGTGTCTGACCCATCGCGACCCCATGGACAACATTCCTCCAGATTTTCCTGTCCTCCACCATCCCCCGGAGTCCACTTAAGTTCACGCCGAGTGCTTCAGTGACTCCATCTAGCCACCTCATTCTCTGCTGTCCCCTTCTTCTTTTGCCATCAGTTGTTTCCAGCATTAGGCTCTTCTCCAGGGAGTCCTTCCTTCCAAAAGTGGCCAAATACTTGGTGGCCAAAGTATTTGAGTTTCATCTTCAGTATCTGGCCTTCTAAAGAGCAGTCAGGGGTGATCTCCTCTAGGACTGACTCTGTCTATCAGACCTAATTCCTTAAATCTATTTGTCACCTCTACTGTATATTCATCTTAGGTCATACCTGAGTGACCTAGTGCTTTTCCCTACTTTCTTCAATTTAAGCCTAAATTTTGCAACAAGAAGCTCATGAGCTGAGCCACAGTCAGCTCCTGGTCTAGTTTTTACTGACTGTATAGAGCTTCTCCATCTTTGGCCGCACAGCATATAGATTACAGCATCGGACTCTCCTTTCACCACCAGATACATCCGCAACTGAGTGTCCTTTTGGCTTTGACCCTGTCACTTCATTTTTTCTGGTGCTAATAGTACTAGCCCTTTGCTCTTCCCCAGTAGCATATTGGACACCTTCCAACCTGAGGGGGTCATCTTCCAGCATCATATCTTTTGCCTTTTGGTACTGTCCATGGGGTTTTCATGGCAAAGATACTGGAGTGGGTTGCCTTTTTCTTCTCCAGTGGATCACGTTTTGTCAGAGCTCTCTGCTATGACCTGTCTGTCTTGGGTGGCCCTGCACAGTATAGCTCATAGCTTCATTGAGCTACCCAAGCCCCTTCGCCACGACAAGGCAGTGATCCATGAAGGGGAAGCAGGTTGCATTCCTGCAACTACCATTCTTCAAGTGGTCTTCTGTGTATCCACACATACAAGGTGCTATGCCTGCACAGTGCCTTGTTTGAGAAGATTTCTCTAGCTTAGCCTAGAACTTTCTGAAGGAGCCCTGCCCCCTTCCCTGTTATATAAATAGCAGGTTCCTGCCATTTCTTCAGTTCACCCAAAGACCAATGTTCGCATTTTTGTTTGCATCCCCATGCATTTTATCACCATGAAAATAGGAGGTAAAGAGAAAAGTTACAAATACTTATGTAAACACCTATCCACTGACACCAAAGCAAGGCTGGCGGGTGGGTTGTATGAATGCACAGATGACCACTCGAAGAATGACAGTTACAGGTATGTAACCGTCATGGACTCTGTGCATCACACATATGGGACACTAGCAATCATACCCAGAACAGTGGTAGGAGATGTTGTTACAATAACCAAGAGGTTAGCACAATCAAATAAGAAGGCAGTTCCATCAATTCCCAATGTTCAGTCATTACTGCAAAATAGAGGACAATACAGCCCACCGAAAGGAGCAGTCCTGTCTTTCCCTAATGTCAATGCCCTAATGTCCAGATGGTACTGTTTGACAAACATGGACAGTGTCGACCATGTTGCAGCCCAGCAAAGAGTTTCTAGCGGTAGTCCAGCATGGAGAGCTGTCAACGTGGAGACTGCTCTCATAGAGTGAGCTCTGGGTTGGTCAGGTAGCTCCAGATTTGACAGTTTGTATGATCGTTTTGATGATCCTTGGAATGGTCTGAATATTTAACAAAGAGACACGTAGTGTTCTGGATGGACTTGGCTCAGGACTGACAGAACACCAGTGTATGACAGAAGTCAAGGGTATGGAGTGTTCTTTCAACATCTGTGGCTGGTGATGGGTAAACAGTTGGTAAGACAATATCTTGGTTAATGTGGAAGGAAGAAGAGACTTTTGAGAGGAATGAAGGGCCGATGTGGAGGACTTTTTCCTTGTGAAATGTCAGATATGGAGGAGCATGCAAAGTTCATTTGCTCTGCACCACAAGGAAGGAGACCTTCCAAGACAGAAGTCTTAAGTTGATAGTGGCAAGTGGCTCAAAGGGTGGTTTTGTTATTGTAGCCAATATACTATGGATAGACTCCAGCTGGGATGCTATGTCAGGTTGGAGGGTGCAGGTTTTTGAGCTCCTTTATGAAGTGACGCGAGAAGGGAAGGGAGAAGGTGGAATAGCCCTCAATGGGACCATGGTAAGTGAAGATGGCAGAAAAGTAAACTTTTATTGAGGTAGGTTTGAGTCCTGACTGGTAAAGGGAATGGAAGAATTTGAGTATTTTTGGGGTGGTAGTGCTAGAATGGTCTACGGAATGGCCCCTTGCATATCTTCTGAATTTTGCCCATTTTGTGGCATAAGAGTATCTGGAGTTATAATAGCATTGTTCCATGTGCAACTCCCCTGACTGACCATGGTAGTAGCGACCAGTAAATGGGTACCAATATGGATGTCCTACGTACAGTTGCCCAAAAGGACCAATGCCCATGGAATGGTGAGTTGACATCGGCAATGGGTTCAAGGACATGGTTTGGAATGGTTGGGATGTCTGAGGAATCAGTACCAATGGTCCTTCTCTGTGTGGGGTCAACCTGGGTAAAGATTGAGTCAGAGTCATGGATTTCGCTGTCGGAGAAAGAAGTCGGTGGCATGCTCTTGATCCAGGTGCTATGTTCCGATTCGACTGCTGTAGGGGAGCACTGATTTGGGGACACTTGAGCTGGTGAACTTCTAGATGCTGGTAGAGCTTCTAGATCAGGCATGTCCAAAGTCCGACCCGGGGGCCAATTGTGGCCCATTTTCAAATTTCGAGCGGCCCGCAGCCTCTTCTCCCCACCGGTTCAGCCTGTCACTCATCCCCGCTGGCCGGCGTTTTTCCCTTCACCGCACAGCGGTTCCCGCAGCTGTCCCCTGCTGCCTCCTGATCCTGTAAGACTGGTTATATTTCACCAGAAGATGGCAGTAGACCTGAGTCAGCACTCTTGTCGTGTGACCCATGTGACACAAGGCTTGTGTGCCCATTTCTAAAATGGCGACTGTAACTAAAAAAAGGAAAGTTGACAGCAAGGGCCACCGCTTCCAGGACAAGTGGAAATTGGAGTATTTTTTTCACTGAAATACGAAACAATTGTGTCTG